GGGGGTGTTGAGGAGGGTATGAGGGTGTTGGGGGCCGGTTTAGGGGTGTTGGAGGGGTGTATGAGGGTGTTGCGGGGGGTGTATGGGGGTGTTCGTGGGGTTATTGGGGGTTACGGACTCCCCATTTTTTTATTATTATTTTTTTTGTTGTTGTGTGCCGACGACTACCGACCGTTAGGTGCCGACCAATCACGGGGCGCCGACCATCGGCCTGTGCAACTCTGCTGAAAAGTATTTAGTATTTACCTGAGTGGGGATCCGGGCCGCCCGGGTGACCGGCCCGGGGGAGGTCCCGGGCCGCCTGGCCGGGCAGGGCACCCGGTTGGGGGCCGGGCCCCCCCAGCGCACTCACCTGTCAGGGGATTTCGGACCCCCTTTGTGTGTGTGTGTGTGTGTGTGTGTGTCTGAGAGAGAGAGAGAGAGAGAGAGAGAGAGAGAGAGAGAGAGAGAGAGAGAGAGAGACATTTGTTCGAATCATACTTGCAGCGCATCTCATGTGCGGGGTGCCGCACGCACATGTGATGCGGCGCATTAAAAAAATAGAAAAACAAAAATGTCCTAGTTGTGTCCAGCCTCCTTTCGGAAGGATCCCTACAGCATATTAGCTAGGACCCGACGTCATACAGAGATACACTTCAAACTTGTGCTCCCTGAGGGTGGGCAGAGAATATATAGTCTGGTTTCGAATTCAGGTCTGTGCATGTTGGTTATGGGTCACCATTTCTCTGTTTTCTCGCTTTTTTTTTCTTTTCTCGTTTTTCTTTTCTTAGGAATACGTGCAGTGGCCCTAAGGGCCGTTACTCACCAAATGCACAAAAGACAAAACATATGGTGGCGTATTATTCCACGTTCTGCAGAAGATTCATTCCTTTACTCACCAAATGCACAAAAGACAAAACATATGGTGGCGTATTATTCCACGTTCTGCAGAAGATTCATTCTAATTTTGCACATTTCGTGAGTAGTGCAGCCAAGTCCTAAGAGTCACTTGCAGAGACCAACAGGCCCTAGCTACGTGAGCAACCTATAACTGCTGAAACACATACCTGAATTCGAATCTTGAGTATATATTCGGCCAGCTCGTGCTGGATTTCATATTCACTGCCTGGCAGTGCCTGCCTCGATTTTGGTGGGCGGGTCTGCGCTACATGTCTGCGAGGACCCTTCAGATAGCCTGCATGGGCCGTGTGAGCCGTGTTAAGGGGATCCGTTCTCTCTCTCTCTCTCTCTCTCTCTCTCTCTCTCTCTCTCTCTCTCTCTCTCTCTCTCTCTCTCTCTCTCGCTCGCCCCCGCTTGTATACACACACCCCAAAAAAAAAGAAAAAAAAAACGCATCTGCGCCCCATCACAGACACCCCCCCAACCCCAGCACCCCGCCAACCCCCCCATCCCCCCACCAAAACCAAAATTTTATTGCAGATTCGGGGTCCTCTCGCCGAGCGCAGAACGACCCCGGTTTCAAAAAAAAAAAAAAAAGAATTCTCGTCCTCACTCAGGTATTTACTATATAATATATATCTACCTCCATCTGAATTTTGAAACCCTAATCCTTACCATTTCTGTGCACTGCAGAGCTTTCTTTTATTCATGTGCAAAACGTCAGCCACAGGATCTTGGAAGATCCCATGGACCGTCAGCGTAACTCATGCTTAGTTTGGTTTAGGGCATACTCATGCTAGCACTTTTCTATGTACACCTGCGGGATTGAAGCGAAGAGTCTGCAAGAACTGCCTCATTCCTGTGCTGTTGTGGGTGTATGTGTGTGTGTGGTTGATGGGTGACTAAACCCCTCAATGGTAATCACAGCGAGTTGCAAGGAGACGCACGAAAAAAGCATACCAAGGAGATGCATCGCCCACTTCTTATGGTTAGACCAAAACAGACATAAGAAAGATGAAAACACCACCGGCGAGGCAGAGGCAGCAAGGGAAAACACAGACAGCAACGAGCAAAAAACATAAAGGCAAAGACAATTGGGCAAAGAGAAGCAAGGCAGCGGACAGTTAAGCAACCAGGCAATCAACATGAGAAGATAAGGTGGTGAGAGCAAAGGGCAGTGAAGCAAAAGGAAGGCAAGCAACATACAGCCAGGAGGCATCGAACAACATGTGGCTGCAAGGCACATGGGCTGGAGGGCACGGTGGAGGTGGGTCGGCAAACAAACAGCACAAGACAACGACAACAAGGGATCGGACACAAGTGGCAACCGCGACCAGAACAGCACAAACAAAAACCGAAAAAACAACAACAACTGATGATGAAAGATTGTTTCGCTGGAGTTGTACCGGCTCATCAGGAGGCTGAACCCTCGACAATCTGTGGAATCTCCGTATTTGATGGTTCGGGTCATGAACCCTTTGACCCTTGTTGAAGGCACACTGTCCCCAAAGGGAACACAGCAGCGGGCACAAACCCAGCGAAGCACCAGGCAATGCTGCAGAGGCAACATGGCTGCTCAACACCCAAGACTATCGCAAGGAATGACACGGCCGGGCCTGTGCCTATCTCATCCTCAATTGATTCCACCTCATATCCCTTGCCAGGGATCGGGGGACCGAATTGAGGGGGTCTGTCTGGAAATGCATCAGCTGATGTAAACGGCAACAGCTTGGATGCATGGAAGACAGGGTAGGTTTGTAGATGCAGAGGGAGAGGCCATAGAGGCCGAAACTAAAACGGTACCGGTCAGTCGTATCAGTCCGGTCTAGGTCGTTTCTAGGCTAGGGTAGACTATGAATAGGTTTAGGAAACACTGTTCGAGGCTTTTGGCAGTTGGTACCGAGTACATCGCTGCTGTGCAACGCATGAACTGGAGTGGTGACAGCTTCAGCATTGGAGAAGACAGACATAGCCGGACCTGCGAGGCATCGGCCATAGCTGGGACCTGCGCTGTTCTCTGACAGCACGCGGGGCTGTACAGAGGTCCGGGCTATCGGAAGTCTGCTGGAGGCAAGAGAGGTTGGTGCCCTGCTGAACCCTCCTCACAAACCACAAGGATATAGGTACTTTATATCTAATCTTTGGTGCAATTGCTGGAGTAATGGGCACATGCTTCTCTGCACTAATTCGCATGGAATTAGCACAGCCAGGAAATCAAATTCTTGGTGGAAATCATCAACTTTATAATGTGTTAATAACAGCTGACACTTTCTTAATGATCTGTGCGCCACTGTGTTAGATGTGTGTGGCGCTGCAGCCATAGCTGCAGCTTTCTTCATCAGAGTTCATCTTTGCCAGGAGAGGTGGCGCTGCTGTGGATTTCCATCCAGGCGGTCCTCTGGGGCGTCATCATCATCAGAGACTGTGGCGCTGACCTTCTTCTTCATCCTCTGAGAGGCGCTTGGCCTCAGAGGCCTGTTTCAGGGTGGCACTTCGCTCGGGAGGCAGTATCTGGGTGGCGCTGGTTGTTTCAGGGGCTCAGGGGTAGTGATAGCGGTTACTCAGGGTTGGGGAAAGAAGCGCTGCCCATTTCTGAGCAGCGCATCACAGTTCTGAGGTTATTCTGACGAATCGAGACTCAGAGTTTAATAAACAGTGTGGATACTGTGTTGGAACTATCTTTGCTTCATTGTTTTCTGGATGTGATCTACTCGGCTTTCATTTGTGACTGGTTGTGAGGATTCTGTGGAGCGATTTGCACTCTCAGTGTACTCTGTCATATCGCATGTTTAAGTCTTCCACTGTGTCTCTCTCTCCCTGTGCGGTATGATACTCCCATCCTCTCCGCTTCCTTCTGTGTATGTATGGGCATACCTGGAAGGCTATGTGAGCGAGTGTTGGTCTTTTGACAACAAGCAACCAGGATCATACACAGTGAAGCAGAAGGCAACACCAACAAGGCAGCCACACACATAGCAGCAGGCAACCGCCCAGCGAAGCACCAGGCAATGCTGTCGGAGCAACCCAACTTCACAGCGGCAAAGACTGCTGCAAGGAATGACAGAGCGAGCGGATGAGCAGGGTGGCAACCGTGCGGTGAAGCAAACTAACATCCGTCATCACCCACAGGCGACACAGACACTCCGAACCGAGCGCCCCCCCTTAGAGTGTTGCAGGCACTCCGAATGAGGAATGACTGACTGTTTGGCACTGCTTAAAGGTGCTCAGTAGGGCCTACAAAAAATACTCGGAAGAAATCAAAGAAAGAACAAACAGCAAGAGAAAGACAGGTATGCATAAAACTGATTATGTGTGTGTGTGTGTGTGTGTGTGTGTGTGTGTGTGTGTGTGTGTGTGAGAGAGAGAGAGAGAGAGAGAGAGAGAGAGAGAGAGAGAGA